AGAGAGAGAGAGAGAGAGAGAGAGAGAGAGAGAGAGAGAGAGAGAGAGAGAGAGAGAGAGAGAGAGAGAGAGAGAGAGAGAGAGAGAGAGGCTGATTTGTTGACTGGAGGAATCTGAAGGCCGGTGTGATTGGTCGGAGAGGCGTTCATTGGACAGCAGCTATGCCCAAAAATTTCTGGAGTTCGTGACAGTTGTAGCAACGTAGGGGCAAAGCCTTAATATTGGGTTGTTGTCAGCTGTCATTCCCCTCTTCCTCTTCCTCTTGTTTCCACTATTTCCTCTAATTTCTGGATAAGTTCTCTTCCCCCCCCCCGCCTCTCCCCTTGTCTTTGTTCTGCTGAAGTTGCATTCAATCTTTTGGTACTTCTCTGTCTGCTGAGGTCTCTGTCTCTGTCCTGCAAAATCTGCTGTCCAGTGATTCATCTTATCTGTATGGTTCCGTTAAAACTGGAACCATGCGGACAACAGATCTGTGGTTAGCGGCCCTTCGCCTTTATAGCCATCAATCAATGATCTCCATAAGGTGGGGCATATCCACACTGAGAATTTATAGAACGATTTTTTATCTGTACTTCCCGTCAGACACATGCAGGAAAGTGTCAGTATGAGTTTGCCGTGAGTCCGTCCTTGTTGTGGTTGTGTTTTTTTTTTTGTTTCTGCTCGAATTGAAGGTATAGATCTGTATGCATGTCTTGATGTTGGGCCTCGCTCCTCTACTCTCGAAATGTGCAAAACGAGTGCGAATCTTCCCCTGGAACACGGCAAGATACGCGGCCATGATTTTTTTGTCTTTTGTGCATGTCTAGAGAGAGTAGTGGAGGGAGGCCCGTTGTGTCTGTATGACTCTGTAACATTCAACAAAGATAAACCATCATTACCTCTCAGGCTGGGAGGCTAAGGGCATACTCACACTCGCACTTTTTTTCACTTATTTTATGGATGTAATTGCTGTCAGATGCATACATGTCAGGCTGTAAGTGCGGTCAGATACCTTTAACAGAGAGTGAGAGTGTGAGTTCACCCCAAGTCATGAATATAACCTATACTGCATTCTTCGGAGGCTGGCGGCGGAGGCTGGGGCATTACCGGCTGGTTGTGCAAAAGAAAAAGAAAAACGCCGCGCTGGTAGCGGCACCAGCAAGAAGGGAAAAAAAAAGGCCAGCGGCTGGCGGCGCCAGCCAAAAGGGAAAAAAGAACGCCATACTGGTGCTTCAGCCAGAGCTTGCCGTGCAGTTCTACTCCACCTCGGCAAAAAGAGGCTCGGAGCTAGCGGTGGTTTAACCCCTTTTTTATGCAGAAAGAAACAAAAGTAGAGAATGAGCTCAACCACTCGACGAACTGGTGTTCCGCAGCACCACAGAAGAGGGGACAACCCCTTCACAGCCTTGGAGGACTGCATCCAGCCCCCATACTCCTCTCTACCTGCTGTTATTCTGAAAATTGCATTAGCGAACCTGATATTGATTGGCAGCATCACGGCTGAGCACCCTCTCCCCTCCCGTTTTGTCTTGGTCGTCTTGGTCTGGTCTAGGTCTGGTCTTGGTCTGGTCTGGGTCTGGTCTTGTCTTGTCTTGGTCTTGGTTTGGGTCTTGTCTTGGTTTTGGTCTGGGTCTTGTCGTGTCTTGGTCTTGACCTTGTCCTGGTCTGGTCTGGTCCTGGTCCTGGTCTTGGTCTGGTCTTGGTCTGGGTCTTGGTCTGGGTCTTGGGGTTGGTCTGGGTCTGGGCTGGGGGGTCCCGGTCTTGGTCTGGGTCGGGTCGGGTCGGGTCCTGTCCTGTCCTGTCCTGTCCTGTCCTGTCCTGTCCCGTCCCGTCCCGTCCTGTCCCATCTCCCCTCGCCTCGCCCTTGGTCTGGTCTTGGTCTGGCCCTTGTCTGGTCTTGGTCTGGCCTTTGTCTGGTCTTGGTCCAGCCCTTGTCTGGTCTTGGTCAGACCCTTGTCTTCTCTTGTCTTGTCTGGTCTTGGTCCGGCCCTTGTCTTGTCTTCTCAAGTCTTGGTCCGGCCCTTGTCTTGTCTGGTCTTGGTCCGGCCCTTGTTTTGTCTGGTCTGATCTTGGTCCGGCTTTTGTCTTGTCGTGTCTGGTCTTGGTCCGGCCCTTCTCTTGTCTTGTTTGGTCCTGGTCCGGCCCTTGTCTTGTCTTGTCTGGTCCTGGTCTGGCCCTTGTCTTGTTCCGGCCCTTGTCTTGTCCTGGTCTGGCCCTTGTCTTGTTCGGGCCCTTCCCTTGTCTTGTCTGCACCTGGTCCGGCCCTTGTCGTCTTGTCTGGCCCTGGTCTGGCCCTTGTCTTGTCTTGTCTGGCCCTGGTCCGGCCCTTGTCTTCTCTGGCCCTGGTCCGGCCCTTGTCTTGTCTTCTCGGGCCCTGGTCCGGCCCTTGCCTTGTCTTGTCTTGTCTGGCCCTGGTCTGGCCCTGGTCTTGTCTTCTCTGGCCCTGGTTCGACCCTGATCTCGTCTCCTCTGGCCCTGGTCTGGCCCTGGTCTTGTCTTCTCTGGCTTTGGTCCAGCCCTGGTCTTGGTCTGGGTCTTGTCTTGGTCTTGGTCTGGGTCTTGCCGTGTCTTGGTCTTGACCTTGTCCTGGTCTTGGTCTGGTCCTGGTCCTGGTCTTGGTCTGGTCTTGGTCTGGGTCTTGGTCTGGGTCTTGGGGTTGGTCTGGGTCTGGGCTGGGGTCCCGGTCTTGGTCTTGGTCGGGTCGCGTTGGGTCGGGTCGGGTCTGGTCCTGTCCTGTCCTGTCCTGTCCTGTGCTGTCCTGTCCTGTCCTGTTCTGTCCTGTCCTGTCCTGTCCTGTCCCGTCCTGTCCCGTCCCATCCTGTCCCGTCCTGTCCCATCTCCCCTCGCCTCGCCCTTGGTCTGGTCTTGGTCTGGCCCTTGTCCGGTCTTGGTCTGGCCCTTGTCCGGTCTTGGTCTGGCCCTTGTCTGGTCTTGGTCCAGCCCTTGTCTGGTCTTGGTCAGACCCTTGACTTCTCTTGTCTTGGTCCGGCCCTTGTCTTGTCTTCTCTAGTCTTGGTCCGGCCCTTGTCTTGTCTGGTCTTGGTACGGCCCTTGTTTTGTCTGGTCTGGTCTTGGTCCGGCTTTTGTCTTGTCATGTCTGGTCTTGGTCCGGCCCTTGTCTTGTCTTGTTTGGTCCTGGTCCGGCCCTTGTCTTGTCTTGTCTGGTCCTGGTCTGGCCCTTGTCTTGTCCTGGTCTGGCCCTTGTCTTGTTCGGGCCCTTCCCTTGTCTTGTCTTGTCTGGCCCTGGTCCGGCCCTTGTCTTGTCTGGCCCTGGTCCGGCCCTTGTCTTGTCTTCTCTGGCCCTGGTCCGGCCCTTGTCTTGTCTTCTCGGGCTCTGGTCCGGCCCTTGTCTTGTCTTGTCTGGCCCTGGTCCAGCCCTGGTCTTGTCTTCTCTGGCCCTGGTCCGACCCTGATCTTGTCTCCTCTGGCCTGGTCTGGCCCTGGTCTTGTCTTCTCTGGCTTTGGTCTGGCCCTGGTCTTGTCTTCTCTGGCTTTGGTCTGGCCCTGGTCTTGTCTTGTCTGGCCCTGGTCCGGCCCTGGTCTTGTCTTGTCTGGCCCTAATCCTGGGCTGGGTCTTTGGCTCTGGTCCTGGGTTTGGTATTTGGCTCTGGTCCTGGGCTTGGTCTTTGGCTCTGGTCCTGGGCTTGGTCTTTGGCTTGGTCCTGGGCTTGGTCTTTGGCTTGGTCCTGGGCTTGGTCTTTGGCTTGGTCCTGGGGTTGGTCTTTGGATTGGTCTTT